ACCATTAATGGAGGAATAAAAGATATTCCATGAGAAAAATATTTAAACAATACCTATCTACAACTCAGTCCTTCAGAAAGTACTAGAAGGAAAATGCTAACCCAACGAAATCACCTATGTCCTAAAGAACACAGGAAATAGATGAACTAACAGTAGCAAATACCAAAGAAGCAAATTGAACACTCAATGCCATAACCAACAACAAAAACAAAAATAACTGGAACTAGCAGTCACTGGTTGTTAATATTCATTAATATAAATGGTCTCAATTCACCTATAAAACGATGTAGGCTAACAGATTGGAGATGAAAACAGAATACATCTATCTGCTTCATCCTCATAGACAGATATTACCTTAGAGTAAAGGGTTGGAAAAATTTTTCCCAATCAAATAGACATAAGAAACAAGATATTGTAGATACCCTAATATCTAACAAAATAGACTTCAAAATAAATCAATCAAAAAAGATACAGAAGGACATTTCATATTCATTACAGGAATAATTCATCAAGAGGAAATCTCTATTATGCACATCTGTGTCCCAAGCATACCTTTCCTGCATTTGTAAAAGAAATGTTACTAAATCTTAAATCAAAAATCAAGCCCTACACACTAATAGTGGGAGACTTCAGCACCCCACACTCACCACTGGACAGATCTGCAAGACAGAATCTTAAAAGAGAAATAAGGGAACTAACAGATGTTATGACTCAAATGGACTTAACAGTCTTCTATAAAACATTCTACCCAAACAAAAAAGAATGTGCTGTCTTTTCAGCACCTCACGGAACATTTTCAAAACCAGACCACATACTCTGTAACAAAGCAAGTCTCAACAAATACAAAAAATAAAATAAATCCCTGGACCCTATCAAATAACCATAGTTTAAGGATCACCATAGCTAAAAGTTAGAATTCAACAGCAACATTAATTTCAGAAAACCCACAATACATGGAAATTGTAAAATGATCAACTCAACCCCACTGGGTCAAGGAAGAGATAAAGAAATAAAAGACTTCCTAAAAGTTAATGGTCACAAAAGATATCCAAATGTATTAGACACAATGAAAGCAGTGCTGAGAGGTAAGTTCATAGCATTAAATGCCTACATAAAGAAGCTGGAAAAATCCCACACTAGTGAATTAACCAAATAAATGGATGAACTAATACAAAAAGAAGCAAACTCACTGAGAAGGGAGAAATAGTCAATTCGAGGGCTGAAATCAATAAAATGGAAATAAAAGAATGAAAATATCAATGAGACAGAGAGTTTGTTATTTGTGAAATTTATCAAAATAGACAGAGCTTTTTCAGAACTAACCAAAAGACAGAGAGAGAATATCCAACTTCATAAAATTAGGAACAAAATGGGGGACATAACAACAGACACTCAGGAAATCCAGAGAATCATCTGGTCATACTTCAAAAACCTATATTCCACAAAATTCAAAAACTTTAAGGAGATGGAGAATTTTCTATTCAAGTACCACATACCACAATTAAATCAAGAACAGATAAACAACTTAAATACACCTATAAGCACTAAGGAAATAGAAACAGTTTTTAATAGTTTCCTAACCAAAATGAAAAATGAAAAAAAAAAAGTCCAGACACTGAAAGATTCAGTAAAGAATTCTTCCAGATGATCAAAGAAGACCAAATACCAATATTCCCCCAAATTATTCCACAGAACACAAATAGAAGGAACATTACTAAACCCTTTTTTTTATTTAATTTTTACAAAATTATATTTTCTCATGTTAATTCCTTATCCGTCTTCCCCATCAACTCCCCACCAGTCCTCTCCCCCAACCCTCTGCTCCCCATGGAGGCCCTACCCTCCATGGGGGCTCTCCATATTCCACAACATCATCCTGGGCAGGGCATAGGCCCTCCCCCATGTGTCCAGGCCGAGAGAACATCCCTTCCCGAACTCTTTTTATGAGACTACCGTTACCCTGATAGCAAAAGCACACAAAGACACAACTAAGAAAGGGAACTACAGGTCAATCTCCCTCATAAGCCTAGATTCAAAAATACTCAATAGAATACTGGCAACCCAAATTCAAGAACACATCAGAAAAATCATGCACCATGACCAAGTAGGTCATCTTCTTCCCAGAGACACAGGGATGGTTCAACATACAAAAATATATCATGTAATCTACCATATAAACAAACTGAAGAAAAAAATACATGATCACCTCACTAGATGGTGAAAAAAATTTTGACAAAATTCAAAACCCCTGCATGATAAAGGCCTTGAAGAGACTAGGGATACAAGGACCATACATAAACATAATAAAAGCAATATACAGTAACTCAACAGCCAGCATCAAATTAAAAGAATCTATTTGCATTCTTCTACATGTTTACAACTAGATCCATATTTATTGCCATGAACAAAACTCAAGTCCAAATGAATCAAAGACATCAATATAAATCCATCCACACTGAACCTCATAATCAAGAAAGTAGGAAATACATTTGAATCCATAGGCACAGAAGACTACTTCCTAAATAAAAGACCAGTAGCATGGACACTGAGAGCAACAGCTAATAAATGGGACCTTTAAAAACTGAACAGCTTCTGTAAAGCAAAGAACATGAACAACAAAACAAAACAGCTCCCGACAGAATTGTAAAAGATCTTCAACAACACCACATCTGAAAGAGAGCTGATCTCCAAAATATACAAATAACTGAAGAAACTAGAAATCAACCTACCAGTTAAAAATGATGTGCAGATATAAACACATAATTTTCAACAGAACAATATCAAATGGTAGAAAGACTCTTAAGGTAATTCTCAGCATCCTTCTTCATCAGGGAAATGAAAATCAAAACCACTCTGAGATTCCATCTTACTCTAGTCAGAATGGCTAAGATTAAAAACATCAATGACAGCTTATTCTTAAGAGGATGTGGAGTAAGTGGAACACTCCTCCATTGCTGGTGAGAATGCAAACTTGTATAGCCACTGTGGAAATCAGTATAGTAATTTCTCATAAAATTAGGGATCAACCTACCTGAAGACCTTGCAATACCACAGTTTGGGAATATACCCAAGGAAGGCCCTTTCACACACAAGGGCATTTGATCAACTATGATCATAGCAACATTATTCATAATAGCCAGATGTTGGAAACAACTTAGATGCCATCAACTGAAGAATGGACAAAGAAAATGTGATATATGTACACATTGGAGTGCTACTCAGCCATAAGAAACAATGGCACCCTAAAGTTCACAGGCAAATGGACAGAACTAGAAAAATATCCTGAGTCAGGTACCCCAAAACCACAAATATACTATGTACTCACTCATGAGTGGATACCAGACATAAAGCAAAAAGATACACAGGCCTACAATCTACAACCACAGAAAAGCTTAAACCCTCTTCTGGAAACAGATGGAAGCAGATACAGAAATCCAAAACTAACTAATGAGCCAAGCTCCTGGAGTACACTCGAAGTGAGGAAAAAGTGATAATATGAACAAAGGAGTCAATGCCATGACTGGGAAACCGACAAAATCACTTGACCTGAGCTAGCGAGAGATCACTGACTCAGGTCTGAGAAATGGGGAACCTGCATAAGACCAAACTAGACTCCCTTAATATATTTGACAGTGGGGCAACTGGGACAATATATGATGCCAATGGGAGTGGGTACAAGATATAAATCTAATGTACCAACTGACTTTGTGGATTGTACTTTATATGGAGAGATATGGAGGGGCATAGAGATGGAGAGGTGCATCGGTTCTGCCTCAAATAGATGATGGGAGAGACTTAGGAGACTTCCTAGGTGAAGCTTTATCCTCTATGAGGAGCAGATGGGAGATGGAAGAGGAGTGTTGTGTGGCGGCACACGGGGGTGGGCCTAGGCACTTCCCAAAGGACACAATAGACACTGATGACACCCTATGGAAGGCCTCACCATCCAGGGGAGCAGAAAAGATAAGTGACAGATAAGGTTTTAGTTGGTGGGGGTAGGGGAGGACAGGTGGGAGAAGGGAACTGGGATTGTCATGTAAAACAATCCTGTTTCTAATTCAAATAAAAAAGTTGGAAAAAATAAATAAATTAATTAATTAATAAAAAATTGTTTAAAGATGAAACAGGATACCAACCCAACTACAAAGCCCTCCAGATACAATCTGTCCTCCCTGGAAGAGGTTGTGGGTGAATTGTGGCTCATAACTCACAATGTGGTCAATCACTGGAGTCCTCCTCCAAAAGATAGAGACTGTGCACTATACAGCCTGGGAGGGCCAGGAACCATAGACTGAATATCTCAGAGACCTAGGGTAGAACCAAACATGACTGCACACCCCCCCTCAAATATCAATGTAATATCAAGACAGGGGTAGCAAAGGTTTTTAATCCCAATACTCAGGAGACTGAGGCATGTGAATCTCTGAGTTCAAGGCCAGCATGAAATTCTGAGAGTTTCCAGGCAGGCAAGACTGCACCACGAAACTCTGTCTTTATAATAAATACATAAATAAACCAATACATCTAATGATTCCTAATGATATTCTGCTAAACTCACAGTTAGCTTTCTTGTCCAGTCTTAGTCAGAGAGGTTTCCTCTAGGAGCAGGAGTGCCTACAGATATCTATAAACATACATTATGAAGAGAGGGAGCTTAAATTTGAGGTCTCCATCATTTCCTACATCTTAAGATGTGGAACCCTATAGGGGAGCTGGAGGAAAGATTGTAGGAATCGGATCAGATGGCAGACATCAGGAGAACACATCTCACTAAATCAACTAAACTGGCTCCCATAGGCTCACAGAGACTGAAGAACCAAGCCTTGGTAATGCGTAGGTCTGCAGCAAGTCCTTTAAATATGTTGTGGCTGTTCTGTTGGTGTTTTGTGTAGGGCAACTAATATTGCAAATATGTATGTCCCTGACTCTTCTGTCTGATCTTGGGACCTATTGCCTCCTTTTAAATTGCCTTCTATAGCCTCAAGATGAGCATTTTTGCCTTGCCTTACTGTTTCTTGTGTTGTCCTCTTACGGTGTTATCCATTGGATGCATTTTCTTTTCGGAGAGTGGTGGATCCAGTGTAGTGGGGAGCTGGGGAAGGGAGCAGGCAAAGGTGGAGGTAAGAGAAACTGTGGTCAAATGAAAAAAGTATATTTTAATATTTATCTGTGAAGTTTTGTCTACATGTGGATATTTGTACAACATATGTATGTGCTTGATACCCATGGAGTCTAGAAGACAGTGTCAGAGCAGCTGTAACAAGAACTAGTCTTGGGAACAACCTTGAGTTCTGGAAATCAATCCCGGGTCCTCTGGAAGAGCAAAAGTTGCCCTTAATCAAATTTCAAACCCTAAGGATTTTCTTCATGGAAATTACAATGGCTACATTGAGATTTAATGTTTACATGCATGTTAGACAATGAGCTTAGAAGTATTCTTGATATTTATCATATAAACAAAAAAAACAAAATCATATTTTCAAAACAAAATTATATTAACCCTAGAGTGTTTTAGTGATGAAAATCACTGAATGAATTGGCCTATGTGTATATGTTATATAACTGATCACTGTAAATTCACACTATTGCACCATTACTATCATAAAAATGAAAATACTTTAATATTTATAAAAAATGTGTGATGTTCTATTTTTTATATTTTATTAAATGTACAAAGTAAAACAATATAATGTTTTCATTTTACCTGTTTCTTTTATTGAATTTCAAATGTTCAGTATTTTCAAAGAAATTCAAGGAACTTATCATTATAGTGTTTTCACAAAAGGAATACTATATAATAAATATTCAACATGGCAGACATGTCTCATTTGAAATTCCAGTGCTAAAAAGCAATGGAGTAATGTAACTGAGTAGAAACCAAGTCATTTATAGGCACAAGTGAAATCTCAGTAGTCAGTGCCATTTTCTTGTTTTATGTTGTTTCATAAATTGAAACATTAAAATTATCAACACAAAATATATAATTATTGTAACTTAAGTAAACCCATATCTGAAAACAAGAGAGTGAGATAAATTTTATCTCATAAAGTACTGACTACTTTATGATTTTTGTAGCTATTCACCATATAAATATGATTTTGGCAACATCAACTATGTAAATTTATGAAAAGAATGATATAAAATAATGAACAATTGTACATGTTATTAAAGCTTTGCTGATATGAATTTAGAGTATTAAATTTAATCCTTGTGTCACTTATGAGCAAAATTTATATGTGATATATTTAAAAGAAAAGAGGAAAAACAGGTCTACAACATGTCAATTGAAAACAAAAAGAGAAGGCAGAACTTCAGAAAATTATAAGCATACATGTTGTACAACACATATAACAAGAAAATGGCAGAAGTCATTTCCTTCATGTAAACTATTGTCTACAACTATAAATTTAACAAATGAATAAAATATAATTATCCAACACTATGGTGTTTATTAGCAGCTCAATAGAAATTGAGGGACAAAAATCTATTGTAATCTTCTAGAAATTACAAAATGGATATTGTATTCAGGTTACCAGGGACCAAAAAGTTATCACATGTTAATTTAAACATCACTATTGTTATAAGCTACACATTTCAAAACAGTTATTTACTGATCAGCAGCTCATCAAATGGATAAAGGCAAAACATACAAATCAGTGGTATAAATGTATATATTAACATGTCAATGATTTATGTATTAAGATACTAAAATATTTTCTTTTCAATATATGCCACTTACTACTTAATGGAACAATGTGTCTTGCAAAAAATATAGCTTATTAAGATGAGAAGCAAAATTTCAAGTCCCCAGCACATATTGGATTTGGTGGTTCTTTAGAAGTACATAAAATTGGTAAGAAAAGGTACCGAGGAAGATATGGGAGGAGCTGAGGAGACAAATTGCAGTGTGTTTGATCAAAAGACATTGTATTCAAGTGTCAAAGAGTTTCAAAATGTCCTACAAATAGATATGTCATTATAATGTGAAAGGAATATATTGTTTTCAACCATGTGACTCTAGGTTTTCATATTTGACATGTTGGAACCCAGCACTATCTGAATTTTGCAAGACATTTTCCCCTTAATTCAATCCTATAGAATATAGAATTACTGTTTCTCATTAATGTAATACATAGTATATAATAATATTGTAACTGAAATGATAAATTAACATTATGATTTTGATCCATTATTACTCATCTAATGTTAAGATGCTTTTCTATTTGAATATGTTGTTATGTTAATTTTGAGAGGAAGCTGCTTGCTTTGGAGGATATTTCAAATGATATCCCTATAAGAAAAATAACCCTGATTAGTAATCAAGAATAGCTGTGAATTATAGATGGATCTTTACTATTTGGCTTGTTAAAGAAGGTTGCTTATGTGATATATTCAGGGGCAGAATGTTGAAATTGGAGTTAATATGAAAATGTCTCCAATTACCTGTGAAGTCAGGCTAGCTACCACTCCTGGGATGGTCATCATTTTCTTTTAATATCATTGTCTGCCTGAAATCAAGTGGAGATACAGAGTTTAAAAGTGTATTTCCATTCTCATTGATAATTCTTTACTATGACTCTTATCAAATTTTCTAAAAGTAGACTATGCAAGCCAAAGGTAATCAGGGATGTGTCATTATGTTTCTGTGTTTTCAGACATCATTGGTAAAACAAATATTGAATTGATTCATTTTCCAAATTTTAAATACCGATAAAGTAAATTACTCAAAATTTTGTTCCAGTGGGATCTTTTAATAATTGCATTACAAAAATTCTTCTCAACTCAACATGGAGGTATATTATATTATATTATATTATATTATATTATATATTTGAAGGTCATTTGTGCAATCATCCTTAATTCTTATGACATATATGTAGTGCAGGTCAAAGTTTTCTCCTCAGACAATGAGTCATTACTATAAGTAAAGCTTAAGAGACAGATCTTTTTACAAAAGAAAAAGGTAACTTGGGGAACCCTTGTTTCCTTCTTCCAAAACTTGTCTGAAGCAATCTCAGATGCTCCATACTTGCAGTGTATCAAATTTTCATTGTTATGGGGTCAAAATTTATGAAAAAAGAATCCATTTCAGGTATGTCAGAAATAGGAGTTTATGTGACATTTAAATCTCAGTTGTATAATTAGACATGCACACTGTCTATACTCAGAGATGTTTGATTTCTATTACAAGTGGAATGGGCTTGTTCCATTGTACTAAGAATATGAGACTCCACTCTTTAAAGTGTAACTAGATATATAATATGCATGAGTTAGCATATCAAAAACAAATGCTCATGTCCCTTTAGTTCCCTGGACTCATGGGCAAAATCTTCTTATGCAGCCTCTACCAAACAAACAAAACAAATCCGTATTCTGGATGGCATTATGAATTAGAATTTCTAGTTACTTTTTAACTAGAACAGATTTATAATTATGTATGATAATTTTTAATCTCTAAAATCCAAGCAAATACATAATGACAGCATCTGACAGAAGTCAATTTCTTGTGGGTAGTAGTTTTACATTTGAAAGAACACTCTGGTTATTTAAAACCAGGTTCCTACTTCCTGCTCAATAAACCTGAAGTAGGGTAGTATTGTTAACAAAAGGAGAAAACAAAGACATTTCGAAAACTGGCCCAATTAAGAAGTCTACAGATTTCAGAGTAAACACATTGTGCAGTAAGTCTGTGTTTGAAGGAACAGAGTTGCCTGTAAAGATCAAATGCTTTTGATTCTCCTTGCTGAATTATTAACAAAATAAGTATTCACTAAACATGAGCTGCATATTAATTGTGTCATATTGATCCACTCTAGAAAAAAGACAGCATCTGGCATGGCGTGTTAATATTACTAGTGATTGAGAATCGGAATTCTCTTACTTTGTTTAGATTTTCATGTAGAGACTTAAGGGGTCTGATAACAGCTACAAGACACTCTGCATCTTTAATTTCATTTTCATGCAAACGGTTTCTCTGTAGGTGTTTCAATAACACAGCTTTATTATTCGCCAGAGTATTAATTAGTTGAGGATTTTACACAGGGGCATATTTTTAAAATATTGTTACCATGAAAATTCATCATAGATACATAACTATCTGATTTCCATTATTTGTTTTGTCATATGATAACTATACTGACAAATAAATACACCATACCACAATTCAAACCACAGTTTTACATGCCCACAGATAATGGATTATACTTTCTATTTCTCCACATCTTCTCCAACACTCACATTTTCCTATTTACTAAGATTATTATCCACTTGTGCATTTATTGAAAATGAATCCAAGGGCACATATTTTTATAAGTGGATATCTGTATATAATTTGCAGATCTTCATTGTTTATTTGGTCAAAAGAGAAATTGACACACATGTGTATTAATAATAGATTTCCACAATGCTCATTAACAATTTACCTTCTGTGTAATAATCCATAAGGCATAATTTTGATATTTTGTTTTCCAAACTTCCATTTTATACTTAAAAAACAATTGAATAATTCATAGATATTAAATATTCCTCTATATTCTTCTAACAAGTTTTATACCTTCAGGCATTTCATATATGTTGTGCCTGCTTTGAGTTAACTTAATGCATCAGTGTTTTAAGACTTTTACTGTTTCCACATAGTCTTGTAGTTCTTCCAGTCTGGTGCAGGTTTTTTGAATACTCCTAAACATATTTTTACAGTTCTATTATGCCTTGGAAGCATTGCTCAGGAATAGAGTATACATTTACTAAACATAATGCCAGGGGTGCAATTGATAGCACCAATAAATGAATACATAACTAATTGGTTGCATTTGTTTCTAAATGTTAGAATTAAAGCCTGGCATTGTAAGTGTGGACTTCAACTCACACTGTTTTTTTTTTTCTCCATTTTTTTTATTTATATTAGAAACAAGATTGTTTTACATGTCAATCCCAGTTCCCTTACCCTCTCCTCCTCCCCTGCCCCCTACCTATCCCATACCAATTCTGCTCCCCAGGGAGAATGAGTTCTTCCATGGGGGGGGGGTCTTCAGAGTCTGTCATATCCTTTGGGATATGGCCTAGGCCATCCCCCATATGTCTATGCTGAGGGAATATCCTTCTATGTGAAATGGGCTCCTGAATTCCATTCCTATGTTAGGAATATGTACTGATCTACTACAAGAGGCCGCCTAGATTTCTGAGGACTCCACACGGACACCCACATTCATGGTGTCTAGATCACTTCCATGATGGTTTTCCAGTGATCCCAGTCTGGGGGGCAAGAGCTCCCCCCTTGTTCAGATCAGCTGTTTCTGTGGGCTTCACCAGCATGGTCTTGACCCCTTTGTTCATCACTTCTCCTTCTCTGCAACTGGATTTCAGTTCAGTTTAGTGTTTAGCTGTGGCTGTCTGCTTCTACTTCTATCAGCTGCTGGATGAAGGCTCTAGGATGGCATATAAGGTAGTCATCAATCTCATTATCAGGGGAAGGCATTTAAGGTAACCCCTCCACTGTGGCTTAGATGGTTAGTTGGTGTCATCCTTGTAGATATCTGAACATTTCCCTAGTGCCTTATTTCTCTTTAAACCTATACTGGCTCCCTCTCTGATGCTCTCTCATATTTTGTTCTCCTCTATTCTTCCCCATTGCGGGAAATTACCAATACTGAGCCAGGTAGAGATACAGGGGATTTTAGTAAGGAAAAAGCCTTACTTACAGAGCAACCTAGGCAGCCAGCGGGCAGCAGTCTGTACTGCAAGCCAAAAGTGAAAGTGAAACCAGAAACCATCCCCCTGGCCAACTCTCACTCTACATCACCCTGACCTTGCCCTTGCAGGCATGGTCAGGCACACCATTAGCCAGACCCTAAGCAGGCATGGATACAACTTCCCTTACAATTCCCCTTTTAGTCTAAAAAAGGATTAAAACTTAACAGTGTAAAGAATCCAAAATTAACAATTATTAAGATATAATTATTATTATATAAGAAGATACAACAATCTGCTTATGTCACATCATAACTCTCTATTTTAACTAAACCCTAAAGTCATCTGAAAGAGGTGTCCAAGTCTAAACATCTCCTTCCAATACCAACCGTAAACAATAGGAAGCTATCACTAACTAGGTATATACACTGTCCTAAGTGACAACAATGGGGAAAGGGGGCATAGCATCCTCCAAGTTACTTCCTGCTGAAATGGGATGATGATAGCCTTGTGGGGTCCTGTATGTAGAAAATGTTAGTGTGGTAAAAATCATGAAAGGATTGAATACAGTCCATGTTAGATGGGATTCTCTTGATTGAAGATCTCGCTTGAAATCCTCAACTTGATTGAAGTCAGTATCAACTGAAGCTCTTGCCAGAGTGTCAGTTGAAAAGGAGAAAGTTGGATCAGGTGCATTCAAGGAGGTGTGGCCCATTTTCTTTCCAGGGTGTCCAGGGATTGCTGTAAGGCAGGTCTTCATTGGCTGTGTGGGACTCAAACATAAACAGTTAGCAGAGAAATGTTTGTCTGTGCATGTAGACATGCTGGGAAAGGCAACCATGGGTACATAACAATTATATGAGGGTGCAGACCTTGAAAGAAAGAGCCAAGAAATGACAAAAACAGTCCCAAATTCTTCTCTTATTCTGTATTACATCAATTGGCTTCTTGATACAATACAGAAAATCTAGAGTTTAGTTAAACAATGCACTTGGATTTCAGAGGAGGAAAGCCAAATCCACCTCTAAATCCTGCATTAGTTTAATTGAATAGGGGCTATGAAATAAAGAGAAATAGAGTTCTCTGAGAGACAGATGTAAAGTTTACTGTATGGCATGTTCCTTTTGTTTCATGGTTATAGCTACCTTTTCTTCTTAAGTATCTACACATGCAGTGACCTTTGCCTTCTGGAGATGAGTTTTCCTGTGAAGATAAAAGCAAAACACTTCCCTTTCCTTTGGGAGGTTTCTATTTAGTTTATAAGATATACCTTAGTAGAATACCTGTCATCTGATCTAGCGGGGCTCAAAATCTTCCTTTATGCCTTGACGCTAAAGGAGCATTTTTCTTTCCTAAACAATTCACTCCACTGGATTTAGCATGAATTCTCAAGTACAGCTGCTACCAATTGTTCCCAATCTGTGGGTGTCACCCTGTTAATGGTTGCCAATGAATATAATAGCTGTTTTACATATAGGCTATGGAGACCATATGAGACAACTGATTCTTTAATATTCTTAAGATCCTTCAGCTGTATTGGTTGCCATACATAAGCCATCTGTCCTTGAGGATATTTCTTAGAAGCTGGCTTTTCTACCATGGTAGAAAACTCATACACTTAATGGTGTACAAGTAACAATCTTAGAGGAATAGTCATGATACCTGGGTGGAGTAGGTGCCTCAGATTGGAGTGATTCTGCCTCTGTGGCATCCCAATGATCTTTAAGCCTAGTAATGAAATCCTCATGAAAAGTTTCAATCTCCTTAACCATAAAATATTCAAAGCATTTCAGTGAATCTGTAATTGCTCTAACTGTTCCTTTACACCTTTTTCTAGGTCTTTAGTATGATCATCCTTAGGCAGTGTCTGGATGGTATGGAAACTGCCTTCTAGGTATTGGAGTCTAGATTCAAGGTCATGATTTGCTGATTTTGAGTCCTCAGCAATCGACTGCATGGTCTTATCTAATCTGTCAGCCCTGTACTGTAAATGTTCCAAACATTCAAATCTAGACTCAAATTTGTGATCTGCTACCTTAGATGCTTCAATAATTGATTGAATGGCATATCCAATTCTTCAACCATATCCTGGGTATTTTGCCCCTTTGAATCTAGTTTCTGGGTAACAGTGCCTAGCTGAGTTTCTAGCTGGCTACAAATATTCTTTACTTCATCGTGGTCCTCTGACAGCCTACCTTCTAATGCCTCAGACATGGAGGATCTCTCTGTATTTATCTTATCATAAATACACTGCATCTCATTTTGAGTATCAGGCAACTCTGGCTTTAACGTATTGGACACAGAACCAAGCTTATCGTCCAATTTCTGTTCCACTTGCTGCACAATTGTATTCTGACCTAACCTGTTCTCCAAAACCTCATTGTGTATTGCTGTTAATTCCAGCAAGCTAACTGCCATTACTGCATATAGGCCGTAAGTGGCAGAATACCATCCTCCTCAAACATTGAATATTACCAATTTTAGCAAATAATAAATATTCCCCCATAATTTTACCTGACTTCTACTCCAGATGCATAACTATCTTTGACCAGCAGGTGGCACAGGCGTTCAGCTACTTGGCATGGCATTTGGTAGCGGTGGGTCAGACAAGATGGTGGTAGCAGCGGAGAGGTCACAAAAGTGGCTGTACTTATCTTAGAGAGTATACGGCCTTGGGGCTGCAATCACTGAAAGAGATGTGGCTTTACAGCAGCAGTGGCCAGGGGAAGCTGCTGTTGATAGCCAAGGCCTACTCGACTCTAGGCAGGAGGCCTCCTGGCACAGGTAGGCTGCAGTCAGAGCCGGTACTGTGTACGCAGCTAGAAATTCTCCCAGCTAGGAAGACAGTTCAGAGAGGCTCAGCAGCAGTGGGAATGTTCTTGCATGGTGCAGCGGATCGGCTGCGAGCTGGGAGCTGGGAGCATCTTTGGAGAGAGGGCGCCTTCCCGGCCTAGGCCGGCAGTCCCTGTGGGACCCACAGGCTGTCCCAAATGGGGCCAAGATCCCACTACTGATACCAGATATGGCGAGAAATTACCAATAAGGAGCCAGGTACAGATACAAGGGATTTTAATAGGGAAAAAACCTTACTTACAGAGTGACCTAACTAGTTGGCAGGCAGCAGCCTGTACAGCAAGCCGAAAGTGAAACCAAACCCAGAAACAAGCTACCTGACCAACTCTCACTCTACATTATCCTGACCATGCCCTTTTAGGCGTGGTCAGTCACACCTTTATCCAGCCCCTAAGCAGGTATGGATACAGCTTCCCCTACACTTCCCCCTACACAAAGTTCCTGCTCCCTTATGCCCCTTCTCTCTCTCCTCATTGTCCTAGCTCCTTCTCCCTTGCCCCATTGTTCCCAATTTGCTCAGGAGATCTTGTCCCTTTCCCCTTCCACTGGGGACCATGTATGTCTCTCTTAGAGTCCTTCTTGTTGCCTGGTTTCTCTTGTGGTGTGGATGTAGGCTGGTAATCCTTTTCTTTACATGTAAAATCCATATATGAGTGAGTACATTCCAGGTTTGTCTGTTTGTGACTGGGTTACCTCGCTCAGGATGGTTTCTTCTAGTTCCATCCATTTGCCTGAAAATTTCAAACTTCCATTTTTTTCTGCTGAGTAGTACTCCATTGTCTAATTTTTTTCATCATAATTCATTTCATTCTCCCAGTCCAAATATTTTTCTACCTACTTGTTCAATGAGCTATAGATTTGGTATAAGTTCTCTGGATTCATAACTTATAAACTTGTTATTCATTCTCTGGAAAAATAATTTAGATGTGCTAAAATAAGTTATTTCTTCCATTTGTTAATTCCTGATGCTGGGATTAAAGCCTTGTGATCCCAAGTGCTGTGGTCATCTTTGTATTAGCTGTTACTCTTTCTTACAGGGTCAATCTTGTGTGTTCTGTATGGCTTGGACTCACAGAGTTCCATCAACGTATTAATCCTGAGTCCTATGATTGAAGGTGAGTAACAAAAACTCCTAGTTCTGGCTTCTGGGATTAAATGTGTGTTTAACCACTGCCTGATCTCTATAGCTTGAGGCTGACTTTGCTTTCTGAATCCAAAGGCAAGCTTTTATAAGTCATAAATTATATATCACCACAGCTCATAAGTATGTTACCAATATTCCTATTTATAAGAATGCGTATGTAATCATGTATTCACTTCTGTTTTTCAAGAGATAGGTGGCAATTATTTTCTGTTGCTTCTCTATACTATGACCATAGCTTGATTTTGTGAAAAATAATTTACCAATTTTTGTCTTGAATGTGAATATTTGTTGATATTCACTCAAAATCAGTGTTGAAAATAAACAGAATTTTTCCAAGTGACAGCATGATAAGTTGGGAAGACATATTCTCTAGAGGTCTACTAACAAAATCAGTGAGTATTGGATGCTATTTGAAGTTTCTCAGTATGATCCCAAACACATTAGTATTTGTTTTAATATTAAAGATTTGCTTTTATTTATTTATTTTATTATTTATTTCATGTGTATGAGTGTTTCTTCTGCCTGTGTTTAAATACAGCATGTACGCCTGTTGTTTGCAAAGGCCTGTAAGACACATTAGTTCTTCAGAAACTGGAGAAACAGTTGTAAGCCACCATGTAAGAGCTGCATCCCTTGGTCCTCTTTAAGAACAGCATGTGCTCTACACTGTTGAGTGCTCTTTTCATGACAACATTTACAAATTTTAACATTTAATTTTTTTGCAACTTATTACATGAGACCTAGGAATATCCATTGTCACTGTTGAATTTATACCAGCAGTATTTTAAAGATAAACATTCCGGCATGGATGGATTTCTTTTACTTTATTTTGCAGTAGTTCTTATGTATCTTGTAATTTAATTAAAGTATTCCAAATTTAATAATGTACATAAAAATTCATTCTGTAACTGAGGGTGCATAATTTTTCTTCTAAAATAATCATCATTTCATGAATTAAAGGACTGTTTAATGTCTATTTTAAACTTTATATGGTTAATTAACTTAGGAAAAGCTATACATTCTTTTTAAATGATTAAGGTGTTGATGTTAT